CGGAATTAGCCCCTTGTCCCTAAAAACGTGTTTAATAATACATATCAATAATTAGGACATAACTTATTTTGAGACTACAAAGGACAGAGCTTAAGGCAGTTAAGATTAATTAGACTATGTTATAAAATTAGTTCTTGAATTGAATTTTTAGAAAAAGATAATATGCTTGATTTCTTATATTTACGCACACATTAAAACTACTTTTGCCTATTTTTGCTTTAAAAATAAACGTATAAATAAAAGCAAAAATAAACGCGATAAAATCCGTAAAAGTAGTTTTAAAAGATAATATGCTTGATTTTTTTATCAGACATTAATATACTTTGTATTTTTGCATAAAAATAAAGTATGCGAAAATACTTTATTTCAAATCCTTACTGTGGTGCACATAACAAAACACTCCCATACGTAATTTTTGTCAAGTTACAAAACATTAAATATTAAGATGGATGATTTATATTCCGAATAAATAATACTTAAAGAGATCCAAAGAAAATCTACTAATAATGATAAAGAATTTTTGTAGAAAATAACTGGGTACCGAAAAATGACAATATAGGTACATATTGAAAACGCATGCGATAACTTACCAAATGCAACCAGCTTTCACTTAAAAGTTTTTTCGGTGATGAAGGTGAAGTGGAGAAAAGAGAAATAGATCGTCCACAAATTTAATAAAATGTGCATTATTTATCTATTTAGATATAAACTTTGATTGTAAAACTAGTTTTGAAACATTAAAAAAATAAAAAAAATTACGTGTGCTAAAAAGAACAAAAAACATGTATGTATGTAGAGGGGTAAAAACTTAAATTTGAAAAGTATTTTTTTTCCAAATATTTTACTTTTTCTTATTCTAAGGATTAAATAAGTACATATTTTCCTTAAAAAATTTGGGAACGCTAGCCATGGGCATGTGTGCATGAAAAGTCTCGGGTAGGTTTTTTTAAATATAAAACATCATTACGGATACACATCTAATGAATACGCAACGTTCTTTAATTCCAAAATTAATTATTAGTATTTTATTCTCTTTATGGACTAGTTAAATTTCAATATCGCTAGATGGTGCTAGTAGTAGAAAATTTCTGGTCTTATTAAAAACTAGCTGCTGCCCGTGACTTCGTACGCGGATGACGTTGCTTATGCCAGCGACAACGGGGCGTCGAAATCGAAGATCTAAAACGTCTGACGTCGAATACTAAGAGCCCGGGGACGAGAAAACAACTGATGCGCGAGACGATTCGAGACGTTCCAGATCTTTCATTTTTGTAAGTCAACACGAAATGCCCATCAGACTAAACAACTTTTGCTAAGACGTCATTCCACATATATATGTTATAATGTCGCTGGGCTTTGGAGTTCCACAACAGGTGTTCCAGATCTTCAAATTTATTCTCACAGCATAAAAAACTCTTCACGTGGAATATTTTTTGCTATGACACCATTTTTATATCTCTTATACTTTAGCTGGTCTGTTGCGATTCTGCATCAGGTGTTCCATTTTCCAAAATAAATTATAGCCTATATGTTACCTAGACTTAACACCTATACAACAAAAAAAACTTTTCATCCCGTATATTTCACCGATCCGGTGCGGAATGCACCGAATTAACAATAATATTGCAAATCACTTTAAAAAAATTCTTTATAAACTATAGCTGTACCCTTGGCTTTGCCCACGTTCTTCAGCGCAGTCTGACTGCTCTCAAGTGATCGAGCAGTCTCAGAGCGGATATTCTGAAAACTCAACCTCTCATCCCTCTGTGTAAACCGTTTCGGATGCGCGAGACAAAGAATGACGATCCCGGTCGATAGCTAAACGCATTTCTCGTTGTTCCACACTTTCCTGAGATCGAGAAGCAGTAGTGCAGACTCTTTTAAATTCTAGTCGTAATTGGCGCTGCGTGCTAGTTTCTGCGGACAAACTTAGTGCATTATACTCACGGTTAGCACATAGCCGTTGTTCACGCTCTGCGTGGGTTCGAGAGAAACTACTGCTACTACTAACCAGTGGCGTAGCAAAGGGGGGGGGCCGCACCGGGTGTCACCTTTTTTGGGGTGTCACCCACCCGGTCTCTCAACTTTAAGAACAATGTTCCAAACAAAAAATAAATAAATCGCTAGCACAAAAATTTCTTTTTCGGGGATTCCTCCACTAGCACTAGCTCAGCTCTATGTATAATTCGGGGATTCCCGCAAAAGAGCCTGACGCACTCGAAGTCTCTTCAAGATGTAGCTTCATTGTTCGAGATCGTACAAATTAATGTTTTGCTTTTGGCGAATACTGAAGAACTGAAATTAGCTACATCTACATTTACTGACTTTTATGATGAGGTCTCAGAAACCGAATTACTTTACAGCTTTGACTGCTGCAAACTCAGCAATAACTTCATCGAAATTTATATTGGCCATCGAACACGAGGCAATACAAAATATAAATTTTAATTATATAACAATTCCTTTTCTGTCTTAGTTATTATTGTGTTTTGTTATTTCTTCAATATTATAAAATAAAAACAATATTATAATAAACGATCCATGTCCTTTATCATATAAAATTTATTGCTTTTTACTTTCGATGGGGTGACACCACCAAATTCCGCACCGGGTGCTACCCAAGGTAGCTACGCCACTGCTACTAACTAACCTGCGCATCTTAGAAACCCTTGAGTTTCGAGACAGATTTGATCTTTTTCTAAAAGGCATAACTAAAATTCCTCTTGTAAAGTACAGAGAAGAAAAAAAATAAGAAGAAAAAAAAAAAAAAAAAAAAAAAAAAGAAAAAAATCTTAATCCGATACTAACGATATTTAAAACAATGAAAAGTAATCGAATAAGTACGTAAGAATTGCTAGTAAGTAGAAAAATAATAACTATTCGCAGGAAAATTAAACACATCAACCAACACAGACAACAAAGGTAACCCCCGTTTCTATAGGATGAGAGCGGCCCATCGACACCTTTAACATCACTTTTTGGGAACGAAACCATAGCGCGATCTAACTCGACGCAAACGCCATCTAGTTAGTAAACGGAAACTACATATTATTTATCCAAATGAATTAATTAAATTATAATTTAGTTTAATTCATATTAAAACTAAATTGCCGTTAATTTAATAGACAAGTACATTATTTTTGCATTAAAAGTATGGTAACAGCAGTAAGGAACAAAACTAAGAATTAGGTACATACTTGAATCAATTACCTGCAACAAATGTGCTTGGTAAGATATAACTTAGAACCAAAAGTTTGGCTTGACTTCATGATAGTGTAACTTGTTGCACCACCAATCAATCTGTTTAGTAATATTGGTGTGAAACTCTCCATACAATTAGATAGGACATGTAAAGTTCTCAGATTTCCTAATGCACATAAAAAGTGCAAAAATTAAACAAAAATTACGTTCTTTCAAAACAATATTATGGGATTTAAACTTGCACCATGCGGTAAACGGTCGCCTGACCTTACCGCTAAATTCCCCGTTGACATATTGTTAAACAGCTATTCCCTTGCAATTTATAATATTACTGCCCCGCTCCTTTATAAAAATTGCGTGATTATTATGTTCCCAGAGTTAAATTTTATTTTTATTTTAACTAATAACATGTCAGTTTGTGCATTCAATTATTTTGTGCATTCAATTACCAAGAAAAACCTTTTAAAATCAATACTGCTTACCTCCTATAACATACGGCGTGATAATATGTAGCCTAAAGCCTTCCTTGGTTTACAAAGAACATTTTTGCTGAATTTCAATTCAATCTATCCAGTAGTTTTGGCGTGAAGCCGTACCATACACACAGACAAACAGACAAAAATTCTAAAAAGTCACTTTTTGTCATCAGTTACGTTTTTCTAACAAAAGCCACTTATTTTTTCTCGAAAATACTCAATGTACAGTTTTTCTTTCGTTACTGTTTTATTCTATGTATAGATGATAAGACCAGAATGAATGAGAAGGCAAATAATATGTATTTGGATCTGGCACCGTTGTCAAGATCCATAAATCACCCGTGCGAAGCCAGGGCGGATCTCCAGTATATTAATATAATATGAAACGGTCATCAGTTCATTCGTTGCTTGCTATTGTAGTTGAAGTTCCAAGAAATCGCACAATAAAATTACATCGTCATTTTTGGTGTGTTACTTACGAATAATTGAAAATCTTTAATAAGTACTATCACCATATCGTCGACTAAATATGCTAAATTGCCAACTCCCAACCATATTCGAGGAAAAATAAAAAACTGATTTAGTCTGGTAATTTTTTTTGTTTCTTAATATTATATCAACATTTTTGCATTTATTTCAATTTAATTACACAACAATCACAATTTAATTAAATTGGAGTTAGCATATTTTACAATTGTAAAAATTTTTTATGGCGATTAGTTTGGGAGTTATCAGATTTTAATAATTAAAGTATTATTTGACTATTTTTACGAATTTTATCGCGTTTAATTTATTTGATTTTTAAAATTAAGTAAAATAAACGCGATAAAATCCGTAAAATTAGTTTTAGTCAATGTGTTGTGTTCGCGTAAATATAAGAAATCATAAAGTATTCTAATTGAAATCCAAGTTTTTTTTATAGGAGAGGGGGCAAACGAGCGTACGGCGCACCTGATGGTAAGTGATTACCGTCGCCCATGAACAGCTGCACACCAGGGTATTGCAGATGCGTAGCCGACCTTTTAAAAAGGAATAGGCTCTTTTCTTGAAGGTCCCTAAGTCGTATCGGTCCGGAAAAATCTCTGGTGGTAGTTGATTCCACGAGGAAGTTGTGCAAGGGAGAAAACTTCTTTTAAATCGCTTAGTGGTGGACCGCCAGTCATCCAGATGGTATGGATGGTAACGCGAGTTTTGTCGCGATGTGCGATGGTGAAACTGTGCGGTTAAAATTAGTCCGTACAATTCCTCAGAGCACTCCCCGTGGTAGATGCAATAAAATACGCAAAGAGATTCAACATCTCTTCGCAGTGCTAATGAATAATGATGATCAAGCCGATCGGAAAGAGCTTGGTCGCCGAAGATTCGAACTGCTCTGCGCTGGATGCGATCAAGTGGAAGGAGCTGGCACTGGGGAGCCCCAGCCTAGAGATGGGAACAGTATTCCATGTGCGGCCGAACCTGTGCCTCGTAAGGTTGGAGGCGGTAAGCCGGCATGAAATACTGTCCCGCTCTGCTGAGCACGCCAAGCTTTATAGAGGCCAATTTGGCCTTCTCTTCCAAGTGACCACGAAACTGCACGTCACTCAATATGTCGACGCCGAGGATTCCGAAACTGGCTGAGTCAACAAGGGAAGTGCCTTGAAACTGAGGAGATACGACGAAGGGGTTCTTTTAGCGGTAAACGCGCAAACTTGTGTCTTCTGGGGATTAAACTGGACTAGATTTAGTCGCCCCCAGTCCGAGATTTTGTTCAACAAAGTCTCGACTTCAGACACAAGTTTGTCTCGGTACGCGGTGACGTTTTCCCGAAAAATATTGGCACGGCTGGTGTATAAAGCGTCACCAGTGCTGTTGTCTGCATAGCAATGAATGCTACCTATTTGCAACATGTCATTGATATGCAGAAGAAACAGCGTTGGTGATAGCACGCACTCTTGTGGAACACCAGCGTTAATGGGCTTCTAATCGGAGCATGCACCGTCTACTACGACCTTGATGCTCCGATCAGCACGAAAACTAGTGATCCAATTGCACAACTTCTCAAGAAACCCATAGGAAGGAAGCTTCGTAAGAAGCGCTTTGTGCCAAACCTGATCGAAGGCCTTCGCTATGTCCAAACTAATGGCCAACGCCTCCCCCTTGGACTCTACTGCCTTCGCCCATTTATGAATTAGGTAACCCAGAAGATCACCAGCTGAGCGACCGCGACGGAAACCGTACTGGCGGTCACTAATCAGCTGGTGATCCTCAAGGTCATGAGCGGGTTGTTAATAATAGATTCCATTGTTTTATAGCACAAGGAGGTGATGGCGATAGGCTTATAGTTATACGGATCAGAGCGGTTACCTTTTTTAGGGATCAGGTGCACGAAGGCTGTCTTCCATGATTTCAGGACTACGGCTAGGGAGTAGGAGTACCGGAAAAGACGTTACGTTACGAGAAGGAGCGTTAGAACCGGTGCCAACACCGGACCACACGTTTCAGCACCGAGCGTTGGGTAAACAGCACATCCTGCATGGAGCACTCACACTGCGGGATGGTCGGCGGTGTGTTCCACCCGTCATCAAGAGTCGAGTTGGACCAAAGAGAGAGCCCAGTAGATCGGCTTTGTCCTTTGCGGCATGGCTCAGTGAGTCAACCTCCCTGTGCATCACTGCCTCTACGATCTTTCCATCCGTCAAGTCAAAGATGACTCCTGTTAGGCATAAGAGTGGGAATCTAGTGGCCGGCCTGTACACGGTAAGCTTACTAGCTGTGTTTTTATGTTGGTCCTGGAGTAACTTTCTGTCTCCTTCGGACTCACAGCTAATAAGGACTTTCTGGTTCTTTGCTTTTCTAATATGGTTGATACCGATGCCTAAGTCGACCACATCGACCCCACCTTTAACCTCAGCACCCCAAAAATACATAAGGGTAATAAGGAGACTAAGGGTCGCACAAGTTCCACATGCAATGTTATCCCAGAGGTAAGCCCACAAATCTGGACAAGATTACAAAACCAAAAAGTGAGAATAGGATTCCATATAGTCCCTGCCACTGACCAGTCACCTGTTATACAATGCTATCGATGCCTGGGCTTTTCTCATCGAGCGCGAGAATGCCAAGCTCAGAAAATTGCATGTGGATACTGTGCTGAATCACATGACACAAGGGAGTGTTGCAATAAAAATAAAGTGCCAAAGTGTATAAATTGCACGAATAGAAAGGAGACTGATGTTAACTGTGCCCATCCCGCTTATAGCCCAGAACGCCCGGAGTGGCTGAAATGGGACCGGATTGCCCGAGCAACCATTTCATACTGCTAAAGGCACCGAAACCTCCCCACAAGGGTACTCAAGGCCTATAAAAATTGCAAAATTAAAAGTTAATCTCGGTAGAGGCTATGCAGCGTTACAGGAATACCTTAAAACAGCAGAATCGCAGGGAATATCAATAATCTTAGTACAAGAACCCTACGTAGGCGCAAAGGCACATGTTACTTGTCGGCAAAGAGTTATTCAAAAGCAAACTAATGACACTCAAAAACCCGTCAAATCGGCTGTCATAGTCGTTGATCCGTCTGTACAGTACGTTATAAACCCTGATATTATCACGGAAAATATTGTTGCATGCAAATTTCAAATTTACAACTACGATATCGCAATCATTAGCATATACATGGAAGGGGCTCAAGACGTTGCAGAAGACGTAAGAATAATTTCTAACTTCAAAATATTCTAGACACTCAACCTCGGGGGAGACCTAAACGCAAAGCGTCCCTGGTGGGGCTGCGATGGAGGATAGACGGAGAACAGCTGTATCGGAATCATTTGCGCAGCTAGAATTACATATATTAAATACAGGGAGAACACCAACATTCTGGGCACATAGAGGAAACAAAGTTTATACCAGCATCATTGATGTCACTGCATGTTCAAATGGCCTACTTAACAAGATCACGAATTGGAGAGTCGACCCCGACTTCGTCACTTTATCGGATCACAGAGCTATCACGTACAATGTTAACCTCGAAAAAATGACGGCAGAAGCCACTTAGCGACGAACTACGCGCATATACAACACTGGGAAAGCAGATTGGGTCAGCTTCACCCATATTCTGAAGGAGGAACTAAATGTACTGGGGATCACTGAGGAATCCATCGCAGAAATTAAAAACACACAAGATGTAGACGACCTTGTACGACAATACGTTGACTGCATTCGGAGATCCTGCGACAAAGCAATCACAAAGCTAGCTAAAACATTAGTGCTAAGACTACATGGTGGACTAAAGAATTAAGCGAAAAGGGGAAAGATTTAACAACTTCGCTGCCAGCTCCGCGAATTAGCGGAGTGCGGGGTGAGCGCGGGGTGCCGGCCCCGCTAATATGCGGAGTAGCGCCGCTTGGTTACTACGAATTAGTACGCGCCCGGCACTGCTACACTTACCAAATGTATTATAATTTAAGCAAACTACTATTTTCTTTGTGTTTAAATACCATAGATAATTTTAAATAAACCATAATACATAAAAGAAACTACTCAGCAAAATTGCGGTCTTGGGTTAAAATGTCAATCTTAGTGCCAGGTCCGCAAATTCTCGGATTTTTTTTATTTAGCATTTTCTTACCAAAACCTTCTAAAAATAGTTAAATATTTACAAAATAACAATATTGAAACGTCCTTCATGCATATTTTACAAAAAAAAACAACGGATTTTCCCATGACGTCACCATATTCCAGTTGGCAGCGAAGCTGTTAATCCGAAAAAGAAGGAAAATCAAATATGCCAACCACACTAGAAGACAATCAGTGATTGAAGATTATACAGCTTCCAAAGCAGAATATAAAAATCTCCTGACGGACACAGTCACCTCAAGCTTGAAAAACTTTTGTACCAGACAAGACCGCGAAAGCTTGTGGCAAGGCATATACAGAATTATAAGGAAATCTAGCAGAACTCCGGAGGATACATTGTTAAGAGAAACTACAACCGGTAAGATCATGACCCCGGAAGAGTCAGCTAAAATCTTATCCGAAACATTCTACCCACACGATGATACCGAAACAGACGAACAACCACACTCAGAGATGCGACAAAAAGCAGAATCAATCAAAAAGAAATGGGCGAACATCAGCAAAGAAGACACCACAAAACCATTTACTAACACTGAGGTAGAACTTATTCTTCAATCAATGAGCCCTAGGAAGTTGCCAGGGGAAGACAGCCTCACAGCTGACATATGTCACAAGGCTCATGCGGCCATTCCACAGATACTCTTGGCAATCTACAACAAATGCCTGACACTTGGGCATTTCCCAAAAACCTGGAAAAGCGCAATAATTAAGGTCATCGCAAAGCCTAATAAGGAGAACTACACACTGCCAAAATCGTATCGGCCAGTAGGACTCTTACCTGTTCTGGGAAAAGTGCTTGAAAAATTATTTGCTAATCGAATGACATGGCAGCTAGGCTCCGAAAACAAAATGAGTGGTAGGCAATACGGTTTTATCCCACAGAGAGGGACCGAGGACACCCTATGCGACGCCCTCGAGGTTGTCAGACAAGGGCTAAAAAACAGGGAAATTGTCGTGATTGTCTCCATTGACATTGAAGGAGCTTTCGACAATGCTTGGTGGCCCGCAATGCTTAATGAGCTCGACAAGAAAAAGGTTGACATATCTGTATGTAGATTAATTAACAGTTATCTCACAGATAGACAAATAAAATTGAGATACGCAGGTAAAGATAATAAAACAAACAAACAAGGGGTGTATACAAGGGTCAACTTGCGGAAACTCCCACTACTAAGGGAGGTAGAAGACCTATGCACCCATATACAGGCGTATGCCGATGACATCTTAGTTATAGCCACGGGAAAAACAGCAAAGGATCTCGAATAAAAACTTAATGCAGCACTTGAATACATCCTTGAATGGGCCAAAACGAGGAAGATGAAACTAGCGGCTTAGAAGACCCAAGCCATCTTACTAACTAAGAAATTAAAATATAAAACTCCTAAATTATCCCTCGACAATAAAACAATAACGTTCTCTGATAGCATTACAATTCTTGGACTTACGATCGACGTCAATCTCAATTTTATAAATCATGTCGATGCGGTAACGGGAAAGGCTGTTCAACTTTACAAAAAGGCGAAACGGCCTACGGGGTCTCTTCTGAAATTCTCAGAACAAAAGTATATATATAACAGTAGTCGAACCCACAGTCTTATATGCGGCGGGAGCATGGGGTCCATCGACAAGCAAAAAGCAAATAAAAACAAGACTCGACAGAATTACCGGGATTTTTGCAATAATGATTAGCAAAGCACACCGCACAGCATCTTTGACATCAAGCACAACATTAGCCCAAATTCTCCCCTTAGATATAAGAGCCCAAGAAAATGCCGAGATCTACATGATCAAGAGGGGAAAACCCATTGCGTGTTTACCTGGCAGGAAATTATCCAAACCTATTAGCCCTCATACGCTACCATACTCAGCAAATAGAATAAGGCAACGGTACGAGCTGATAACATCAAGTAATGACATAAGGTCTATTGGAAACATTTGGCCCTATATATACACTGATGGCAGCAAAATTTCAGGTAAAGTAGGCGCTGGCATTACTTGCTGGAAGAATGGTGAAGAAATCTACAAAAATAAGTTAAGACTCGGAAACCATTGCAGCGTCTACCAAGCGGAACTTGTTGCTATCTTAGAAGCCACGGAAATTATGTTGAGTAGACAAACACTTAAAAAAGCAAACATCTTGAGCGATTCGCGTTCAGCGCAGCGCTGGAATGCCTGACAAATCCAAACACCTTACACCCCATAGCAGCAGATATTTTGGACCGAATCTCGGAAATAGGAAGGCAACAGGGAGTAGTGAGGTTGTTCTGGATCAAAGCCCACTGCGGGAAATGAAAGAGCTGATGAATTAGCTAAGTTGGCGGTGGAAACATCAAAGCAGACGCTGGTATACTGACTACTGATACAGATACTAGACTGTTTCCCTCTGTCTTTCGCAAAGCGCCACATTAGAGATAACTCTTTGCATATCTGGCAAGAACGATATACGACATCAGACACCGGAAAAGTCACGAAAAAATTCTTTCCGAGAGTTATCCAGGCGTATGCAACAATAAAGAAAATTGCAATCAGTAACCTAAGATGCCAACTCTTTACGGGACACGGGGGTTTTAAAGCATACTTACATAGATTTAAGTTAGCTCAGAGCTCATACTGTGAATGCGATCACCTAACACCACAAACTATAGAACACGTTCTCATTGATTGTCCTAAATACACCGCTTTAAGACTCTGTTGCGAACACCGTATGGGCTTTGTGTTGAAAGAAGACACTCTGTGTAGGGCGGTCAACGACAATGACAGTCGCACTCATCTTCTTGAATTTGCAGAAAAATGTTTAAAGAAAGTGTTACAAGGAAATGGGTCAAAAGTGTATTAGACAAAAGAAAATATAGTTGTATTAGCAATAGGTATTAGTAGATAATAGTAATGTTTTGTTAAATATTGATACCAACATTAACTTCATCTTATTTGTAAATAGCTAGTAGCACTAATTAATCATACTCGTAGTAGGGTGCATTATTAAAAAAAATATAGTTGTAGTAGCAGTAACTAGTAGATAATAGTAATACCTTTGTAACAAATTGATACCAACTTTGTCTTTTTCATTTTAAACAACTAGTGGCCTGATTAACAGTAGCAGGATGTATTAAGACTTATGTAAAAAAACAGTTAGTAACAATGCATATATTAAAAAAAAGTTATTTATATTTATTAACATTGACTGAAATTTAAAATAGTACTCAAATTAAGATACCAACACAACAGACATGATGTTTGGAAATGAAACAAAAAAAAGAATAGTTCGTAATCCATTTAATTTATACTTGTAAAACAACACTGAATAGAAATGTATAAACTAGTGATAAGCAGACGATGTACTCATGGAAGAAAAAAAGAAAACAAAAAAAAAAGAGCATCAATTGGACTTTAGACTAAAACAGATAAAGAAAACAAGGGTGCTGTAAAATAAATAACAGCAGATGAACTGAGTATTAAAAAAACCTCCCTATGCAGAGATGGAAGAGATAACTGGCAGAAGTTTCCTTGGACAGCCGTGGCGAGAGACCAGAATGCACTTTGCCTTGACAATGACACTTTTAAAGGACCTGGAAGTAGAATTATACTTCTTTTTAAGAACGCTGGTATTTACATCCCGAGACGTCGATGCGCGAGCTCAGGCCTGGTAGCACTCCTGCATGATCCCCGCATGATCGGTTAAACAAGAACCAAGCCATTCAGCATGGTGGGCGTTAAAATCACCAAGTATCACGATCTCTGCGGATGGGACCTGTTGTAGCACGGAGTCTGCAGCCATCTGGACGTGGGCGATCAGTCGTTCTGTGTCGGCATTACCGCTATGGGACCTATATAGGCACTCGTAGACGCGGGGATGGTCGTCGCTGTTTACGCGTAGCCATAAGATGGACAGGTCCGTACCTTCAAGGCCGTCGAGGCGTCGAAAACAGATGTCCTCTCTTACGTACACGCAAACTCCAGCCCGGGGCACAAAAGAGTGTTCTAATCCGTACCCCGGGTAGGAGAAATATGAAGTATCAGTCGGAGAGGACGGTTAGAAAGAACAAGGCTACTCGTAAACAGAGAAAGATCTCAATAACACATAACCTCACAGAAAGTAGTATTAGATAGCGGTTGTATGGGGTGCGATTTGCACCAGTCAGATACGTAAAACTTATAAAATGGAGGACCCCTTGATGCCTCTTACCATATTTTAGAAAAAAAGGAAAGTCGGAGGAGGACGCCCCCCCCCCCAAAACAAAAAAAAAAAAAGAAAAAAAAGAGAAAAAAAAACACCCCCCCCCCCAACACCCCCCCCCTTGGGGGAAATATTTGTTTTCCAATCGGTTTACAGATATTTTTTTGAAGATGAAGCTCGACAGTAATGGGATTCCATTGTTGGTATAGTAAAATTAAATTTAAAAAAAATTTTACCTATGGTAACCGCGGTTAACTATGACATATGGACGTTGAACATCTCAGTCCCGCCCGTGACCATGAGTGCTGTAAAGCGTTCGAAACGTCGGGTATTTAAAAAGTTAAATATACGCGATAAATTCCGTAAAAACTAGTATTATTTCAATGTGTAGTGTTCGCGTAAATATAAGAAATCATTGGGTTAACTCTATCTTTATTAACGCTAAGTTTGCTAGGAATGCAAGTATTGTCTTTCTTTCTATCTTTCCAAGCAATTACAGTCATTCTTCCAATTACCAAAGTAATTTAATACATAGTTTTGCAAACTCTAACATAATTACCATCAGCTGTTTTAAATTATACTTGAATGACTGCGCTCGTCGAGAACTATCAGACAGTTTTCGATCCCTATGACGTTTTGTTGGAACTGACTGAACAGTATTATTAACAAATATTTTTTTTACCCATATATATATGGTTTCCAAAATTGGTTGAATATTTTTATTGTTTCTTCATCTCTTACAATGCCACACTTGATTATGCCTGTTTTTTTTTTGCTACATTTACATCTATTTTTTAAATGCTTTGGTTCTATTAAATTTTCATATAGCCATTTCGATCTTGTTTAATTTCGTCATAATATTGAGAGCCTTCTTCGCGCAATACTTTATTTTTTCTGAAAACCAGATATTTTTATTTACTTGATTTTTCGTCTTTTTCTGTATTTACTCTTCTTAGGCGTAGGGACGGCCTTCGTAAGGACGTATCGCTAACGTTTTCTGAACTTAATGAGTATGGAACTAATTTAGAATTGTCAAAATTTTCACTAAAATTATATATTAAATCACATTTTTCTATATAAGTAGGGGGAATCCGGGAGACTTGCCCAGGGAGGGACTTTAACCGACTCTGCTTTCTCATTTGAATTTTCACGCTAACAGCCTGATTGCCCACTAATAAGGTGATCAGGTGGCAGCCAATCACGAGCGTTCAGCCATTTTGTCAAAATTCATACGCGTTGGATCTTGACCGGCATATTACATGTTTATCTCATTCTCAAGTAAATAAAAATAGAAAAACTGTTTTGATCGCTGTGAATCGATTAATGAAGGTAAGTAAGATTTAGGTTTATTATATTATCGCATGATTATCGTATTTGAATGTGTGTACAGTGGCATTTTGTTGCAAATTGTGGTATCTGAGTAAAGCAAGCTAGAATCCGGAAAGGGGGGGTGTGGGATATTTGAACCACTTAGTCGGTGGGAGATATGACCATTGGTTCAAGTCTCCCTTCCATGGCTACAGCTGCGTCTGTTGACTGTTGCTAAGTTAAGTGCTCATTTTATATTCCAGGACGAAGATGCCGTTTCAATACAAGCCCCAAGGCACTAAAACCGCAGAAAATTTACAAAGCGTGACCTTGAGCAAGCTAATAGTGAGATTCAGGGAGGTGCTTCTATTAGAAAAACAGCCATTAAATATGACATTGATAGAACGACTCTAAGAAGGTCCCATGTTCGCGGTGAAGCGACATTAAATAAAATAGAAGAAAAAGATAGCCAGTACAAAAGCTCGCAGATTTTTGACAATAGGGAAGAAAAAAGTAAACTACCTTTTGGCATGCAGTAAAATGCACTATGGACTGACGAGAAAACAAGCCATGCAATTAGCCTTTGATTATGCTCTTAGCAAATAATAAAAAAATACATCAAAGTTGGACAAATAACAATTTTGCTGGAAAAGATTGGTTCCGAGATTTCTTAGCTAGAAACCCGGAAATAAGCTCAAGGACGCCTCAAGCCACCAGTTTGTCGCGAGCTACAAGTTTCAACAAAAAAAATGGAACAGACTTTTACGAAAACTTGAAGCAAGTGCGAGAAAAGTATAATTTTGAGACACAAAATATATATAATTGTGATGAAACTGGCTGTACTACTGTCCAACAATGCCCCAAAGTATTGGCAAGTAAAAAAGCCAAGCAAGTAGGACATGCCACCTCTGCTGAAAGAGGTACTCTGGTTACAGTCTGCTTGGCTGTAAACGCCATTGGAAATGCCATGCCTCCTTTTTTCATATTTCCGCGTGTTAAATACCGACCTGACTTTGTTGATGGGGGACCTGAAGGGTCTGATGGAGATTCATACATTACGGATTGGATGACTGCCAAGAGCTTCCTAAAATTCATGAAACATTTCAAAAAGCACTCCCATGCATCGAAAGATAATCCCGTGTTATTAATTCTTGATAACCACGAAAGCCATGTGAGCATCGAAGTGATAAGTTATGCAAAATCCAACGGCATCACATTGCTTACACTTCCGCCCCATTGCAGCAATAAGTTGCAACCTTTGGATATCGCTATATATTCGTCATTTAAATCGAGATATAATACTGCGTTGAGCAACTGGATGCTTTCAAATCCTGGAAGGACAGTAACGATATACCAAATTCCTGGATTCATCTAAACGATTATGTCGCAAGCATTCAGCCAAGCCAATATTTTAAGCGGATTCAAAAAATCGGGAATACATCCTTATAATGATAATCTATTCAGTGATGGTTTCATGTGTTCTGCTGTAACAGACAGGGATAATGTAACATGTAACAGATCCAATGAAAATTATGAACTTCCCAGTAGTTCGTCTCAATGTCGCCAAGCTCAGCTTGTCTTTTCAAGCGCTCAGCAGGATCCACCAGATTTTCCGCAGAACTTCAACGACGTTGATCAGAAAATTCTGTCAACATCTCAACAGATCCTTAATGATGAAGTTCAGGACCCTCCATCTAACCCCGTGCTTGATTTAAATAATGTTTCACTTCTGGATTCAGTGACTGTTTCTCTAACAAATAACCAACTAAATCCTCCAGCTCAGAAAAGTCCGCAAACCTATGACAAAGTCTTAAAAAGCTTTTCACATGCACCATCAGACTCTGAACCAAATTCACTCAACTGTTCTAAAGTTTATCCTGAGAGCCTAGTGAATTGTTGCCTCACTAAATTGAATGACACTCTTATGGCTAAATTAAATTGTAATTTAGAAGTTTCTTTTCATCAGTGCCAAGAGACTGATATAAATTATTATTATCCTCCGAATTCACCTACTCTGACACAAAAGCTGAATATTCCGCAAACTCCGGACCATATTACTAAAAAAGTAACTATTACACCAGAAATAATAAGGCCATATCCAAAAGCTGCACCCCGAAAGACAACACGGCGTGGACTACAACGTGGAAAAACAAAAATTCTAACAAAAACAAATGAAAAAAATTACAGATGATGATTCAAATGAAATTCTTAAGAAAACAACAACTAAGGCAAAAGGTGACAAGTCCTCAAAAACTAAAGCTAAGAAAAATATTAAAAGAGGAAAGAAGGTAGACACAAAAAAAGCAAAGAGGCAAGTTTTACAAGAAAAGAACAATGACACAGATTGTGAAGATGATTTTAAAGCAGATTCTAGGAAAATGAAAGAAAAACTAAAGCAAGGGAGAAATAAAATAAAAAGAAACAAAGATACAGGACCAGCAAAAACCAAAAAAAGGAAAATAAATAAATAACAGAAACGTTCTCGCACGTTAGCTCGCTCAATTGACAGTGAATCTGAAGAAAAAAAAAAGGAAGGGGAAGGAGTACCAGAGTTGGATACACGTTGGTATTGCTTTATTTGTGGTACTGAAGAACTCTTGGATATCTGTCTTTGTATTTCTTTTAAAACGTATGTCCACGAGGAATGTGTAGGGGTAACTATTAAGAGGTGAGAGTAAGTCAGCTCAAATTCTAATTTCGCCCCCACTTCCCCGCGCGTCGTATGCTGTGTACCGACATGTTTGTAATCACTAATACTCTAAGTAGAAAGGTCGTTAGATACTTATTTCATTATGTTTATCATATATATGCCTGTTTCTTAACGCCAACCCAGTCGCTTCTTATTTTTATAACGGTTACTTCCCATTTTAATTTTACGTCTTCCTGTTGCGTAATGTGTTTTCTGATCGTAAGCGACACAACTTTTCCCTTCAAAAGCCGGAGCAATACTAACGGAGCGACAGGTACCAAGCTTACGCGCCGATAGTTTAGGTAATTTCTTTTTACAGTGAAAATAATGATATTTTAAAAAAAGTAAACAACATAAGCACTGCTTTATGGTTAGTTCAGTTAGTATGCAAAGTTTCATGATCTTATTTAAAGTATTTTATGAATAACAGCGGTTTATTGTTCAGTTTGGAGGTAACTTTGGATTTTTTTTTCTATCGAGAAAATTTTACGGAATCGTGTTTTCGTCTAACATAAACCTTAACATTAATCCTCAACTTTACCATATATTTATTTCAAAATTAATGCTGCAATACTTTCGGCATAACGAAGGATCTTGCTAAGCCATTTGAGGTTATATTCTGAAAACTTCATGTGTCCAGAATGTGATTAATTCAATAAAAATACTTTAAGGGTGGATATAAGTGCCACAAACAATTTTGACTGACCTTGATCTCTAATTACGATGTTACTTTTATAAGTGCCTTATTATAATTAAGACTGATTATTGATTTCTTAATAATTATAGTTAATTAAGAGTAAGTGACATTCATAAATGTCAAAACTGTTTTTACGTTTGTTAATTGATTAAAATAATGACAAAAACTTTGATATTTAAATTGTTTTTCCAGTAACAGAAAGTATGGTTAAATCTCCCCAACCCTATGGTCAAAAGTCTTTTTAAAAAAAGTTCCATAATTCTTAGTAGATAAAAGTTATTGTAACACTTGTACCACCAATCGAAGCCTATTGAATTATATAAGCAATTCAAGACTGAGATATCTACAAGAAATCAGTAAGATTTTACAGTCATTTTTGTAAAAGGGGGTTCAATTCTCCCGGATTCCCCCTACCATTAAAATTTTCTGGCATCAGTGAATCGTAAACCATTACATTATCATTAATTTTTAAAGAATTTGCATTGCCAATTATGTTTGCTTTTCCACTAGCCACTAGGTGCGTCAAATGTAGTGAAAAAATGAGGAACATCAACTATTTCAATCAGTGCATTTTCTACTAGCGAGTAATGTTCAATGTAATCTTCCAACGGTACATTTAAACCAGATTCAGTAGGGTAGTCTATCATATTGATAACATTGTTTAATGTGTTAGTGTATCTATTATTCTGATCAGTATCAAAATTATTGTGAACAATTAAGTATTTCCCTTATTAAGCAATAATTCTGTATTGTGAGCTAAACTGATAAGCTTCATAACCCTATATGAAGCCATCTGTAGATAAAACAAAAGCAAAATAAGCCACCACACCAAGCATAGCACATAATATATAACTGCACCAGCGAAAATTGAACCCAAAACTAAGGATTAAAATATCTTTATCGTTACTATTGTGCCGTCAAACACCATTACAAAACCAAACACATTAAAGAACCACGTTCTTTAATTTTCAAATAAAGCGTTAAAATACCAAAACAAACTTATAATAAAACTTACGTAAAAAATAAAAATATCCAACTCCTAAACAATAAATGAAAAAGTAACATTTCATATGTGCTTTTGCATCAATTATGCTTAGATATTTATATGTATCAAAACTATAAATACATTATAGAATACTACTTAAATTTTACATAAAATACCAGTCACGTGCCAAGCTTAAAAAAACCTTATGTTTTAGAATAAAACTCTCGGGAACACTGGTAGCTACTAGAAGATGACGTCGAATTCGAATGATTTGACAGGCGTGGAGTTAGCATAAAAGATTACGGCGCGAAATCTATAACCCGGGTTTAATTTGCGTATTAGCATGTTTGACGGTTATGCGCTATTTTTCCTCTTTCGTTTTATACCAAATAGTCAACCTATACCCTAAAAATGAAGTTAGAAACGGAGGAAGGCAGCGTTACACGTTATTGGATTTGGTTAGGGTTGCCAACGAGTGACTACTGTGCGGTAGAAGGAAAACTATAGATATATAGTAGCGTAATTTTTGGTCTGTGTGTGAAATGTTACTTGGTCTTCTCTATAAATCTATGCACATGCTACTACCAATAGCATGTCGTATATAATGACCTAAAGTTTTAAAAATTATATTATGCAATACATCAAACTAAGGTGCAGATGCAATATGAGAGATTCTGAAACGTTTACATTAAAAATTACAACTTATTACTTTGTTTTGATCATATTTCTTGCTATTCGTTTAAGAGGCCGTGTAGAAAATTTATTCGATAGAGTTTAGGCAAATTCATTGCGGTGCTATCTTTGTGTGCATCGTTTACGCACACACGGCTAAAGACCGAGTCCGCTTAAACAATTTTGATCCTTTAGTTGATAATTATTTTAGGATACATAGTAAGTACAGTTTAGAAATAAAAGTCTAGGATGTTTTTGTATAATAGTTTAGTAATATTACAATCAACATAAAATGAAAATAAAAAAGAAATGTGTTAGACAAATACACTATGCATATATATTTAAGTAATTCAATGTTTTCGTTCTGCGATGTCATTAATGTCTACTGGAGAGTACAGACAAATTTAACATGTCTTATTGGTATTTGCCCGAAAATCAAACATCGTGATTTCATTAAAACAAAGTTTTTGCAAATGCAAAACATTTAAATTTAAATATTAGGCCGTATATGAGAAACGGAATGTTAAAGAGATAAATAAAATACAGAGCATGCGTGCGTGGCGTACACGTCAAGTAAATACTTTGATTTTAAAATTGATAATACTCGTTTCTTCTATAATATTTACTCAATGTTTTGAATTTATTTTTATCCATGAGGGATACAAAGTACACATTTTGGCAAAAATAAGCCGAACTTGCTAAAGGATACTTGTATTTTCGATAAAACATTCGGCGTATTTAGTTTAAATCTATGTCCAATATCGGGTTAAAATGTTGTGTCTCTCAGTGGCATTGAGCGAGTTTTTCTTGGATCGACTACTTCTGGTAAAAGGCATGTATTGTAGAAATCAAAATTAAACATTTATTTACAAAGAATGGCACGTTGATCTTTATAGGTTCGTCGCCTTGCCATAGATCACAATTTAGGTATCTTAATTTTGACCCAATTCGATGCAGCCGCGGGTGGTATTTTTGCATTATTTCATGTGGGCATAATGAAATGCAACAGTAGACAAAATCGTATTTTTTGAATGGTATCTGAAATGGGTACTAATCATTAAAAAAAACTATCAAAAATAAAATATCAATGAACATAGCAGACGTACTGAGACTAAGAACAACCCAGGTGATCCCATACGAAGAAAAAAATCATCATAATTGGTATAGCCGTTTAGGATAACAAGAATTACGAACACGCACACCTGAACTTTTTATATAGAGACTAGGCGTGCAACATATTATTATTCTTAATAAACAAACTATCCAAAAAAAAATACTTACCCTGATCAAATTTTGGTGGTCGGCGTACAATTTCTGGAAATGTTTACGTAAAACACGGGAGCGCCTGCGATGCAAAGGTCGTCACTGATCGGATCAATTTTGCGCGGTCGATAATATAGTTCACTTTGCCATTTAGTAATAAACGAAATTATTATTTATTTATGAAATAAAATTTAGTTTCCAATAAAGGGTTATCTTAATATTAATGTGTAATTTTTTAAATTAATTAAAAGTGTTTCTATGTAATAGAAAAAAATACTTATTTAGAACGAAGTTTTCTGGAGATTACGTTATTTCAACAATTTTTTTCTGATATATTTGGATAGAAATTAAAAAAACCGATCTGGCTACAAACAAGTAGACCGTATATTTATGTTATTTATATTTTTAATGTTTGAAATATTTTACAGTTTCGTTGTAAAACGAAGACAAAAACAACTTGATCGTTACTTTTCGGAAAAAGGGTTGTGAATGTTGGTGATTTGCCATTATTATGTAGATAATATGATACATCCCTTCAAGCCAGATATTAGATTAAGAACTAGACTATTATAATAAAAATAAAAAAAGTTAAAATTCGTTTTCCTGTTCACACAAACTTTGATCAGATTTTCCGAAATGAGTTGATTTCGCTCTAAACTCTGCAGGTTTACTCAGGTCACTATTGGGTCACTAACATCGGATTTCGTTACCCTAAGTTCAAACCGTATAAAACGGGATATAGTTAGGCCTCAGAGCCTGTAATTTACTCGCTCTCTATTTCTATACTGTTCAGACCGTAGCCAGGGCTCCGTCACCGGCTCAATGTCTCGCATTATATATCTACCGGCTAGCATACTCGTGGGAGTACAAGTATCAGAGGGGTGCCGCATGCTTCAAAAATATAATTTAATTTGTTTTAATTTTTAAGTAATAAAATAACAATTTAAATTAAATAGCATATTTATTAAATAAATAAATTTACCATAATTAATAAAATTATCTTAATGTCTGATACATTTATTAAAATTCACGATTTCATGACTTACTACCGTTTTTTATCAAATTATTAGCGTTTAGGCCATCTAGCGTCTATTTTATGTAATACTGTTGCCTTGAGAGTCATGTGTCAACCAATTTGTTCGATAAAATAACCTACAGAAAGAAG